GGACTGGGGCTACTACATGTACATGTGCAATGATAAGAGTGGAGAATAGGACGACCGCCTCTTCTTTTCCGGGCGCGACGCCTTCGTGTCCGCGGCCGAGGCAGCGCTCCACGCCGCCGACGTTCCCGTCACGAGGCTCACCCTGCCGCCCGCAGAAGCCCTGCTCCGTCTCCCTGCGGCCACCGTGCTCATCCTGGACAGCTGCAACTGGAAGGACAAGGATGGCTGGCGATATCACTACACAGCGCGACGACACTACATAGAGGACAAGGCTGGCGTGGTCCCCGTGGAGATTGACGCGCCGAAGCTACGTCGCTTCACATATAAGGGGATTCTCCAGCCGTTCTCACTGAGCCCGCAGCCGCCGGACTTGGTACATGCTGACCTGCATTTTGTCCCGCGCCACAAGGAAACCAAGGATGATGCATGCCGCGGCGAGGCCAACCTCAAGACCTTTTGGCGATTCCATCACAACTTCACCGGCGCCAAGAAGCTGAAGCTAAACGTAAACCCCCACGAGGACATGGCTGTGCTCAGCGAGGCAAGGAGGGCCGAGCTCCTACCCACATTCTCCATCCTTGAGCGCCTTGAGCTGCACGGTAAGGCGGCGGCAGTGGCGCTCACGGACCTGCTCCGTTGCTGCTCCAAACTCTGCAACCTCCGGATCAACCACACCGCGAAGCAGCAGTGCACCACTACCCACACTATTGGCACGCCAAAAAACTCTCTCTGGCTAGAAAGGAAGTTCAGTGCTGACCATGACAAGTCCATCGATCTTCTAGCCCGCTATCCAAACTCGGACTTGACTGCGCTGTCACCTGAAGGAAACAACACCGCCAACTCTGATAAGGTCTCTGAGATCAGAGCCAGCACTCGTTCGATGTCTAGGGAGCTCTTTCGCAAATTGTCTTGGCACCAAGCTGATAAAATTCTTCGCCAAGAACACCATGGTTCTTAAAGAAATGTCTATCGAAGAGGAAACACGAAGTTGTGGGAGCACATGAGCTACAAGGTTGAGAAATTGATTTCGGATTCATCCATAAGGAGGAAGCCTGGAGCTTCAAGCTTTGTTGAGTTGCCCTTAAGAGGTGATTTGACTATTAATAATGAGAATTAATTTTGATGTAATTATTTCCCAACCTTGTATTTGAGCGGGCTATTGGTCACTTCTAACACTAATTTTAATACCTAAATTTTGATCTTGTATGACGTAATTTTGCATTTTGGTTAAACTATTTTGGGTTTGCTAAATCACATCTAGATATGAAATAAGTATGTCACTTTTAAGTTTTAAACCATTGGATATATTGTTCCTAGATTTGCGGTCTTTTCAGCGTGGGCTCGTGAAACGTGGTTGAGTTGAGCCTCTCGCACTGGACGTGCGTGTGTCTGCTTCGGCCCATGTGCCAGGTCCTTTTTTCTTGAACTTTTCATTTTCTTTTCTATTATTTGATGATTGTTCCCCGTAAGAAAAAATTGAAGACTGTTGTCGGTCCGCTGCAGCACTTGTGAGTGCGTTCTTTTTTGCAATTCTATGCTTTGTATACGCGCATAATACGGTGTTTATGTGTTTTTTTCTACGCATTTGCTAATTATATGTCACATTAAGTTGTCCACCACATATGAAGGCTGTAAAATTTGTGCAAAACTGTTTTGGTTATGTTGTTGCAGTGCCTTGCCTTGTTCTAGTGAAACTCCGTTGGGCTGTTTTTTGCACAGCGCTGCGGTTTGTCTTTTGTCCCGGTGTCTGTCTCTATACGAATGTGGGTATATGGACTTTGTTTCATGTGCGTTGGTGCCTCATTGTTTTTGGACGCCGATAACGCCCACACATGTGGGCGTTAAAGGATCTGGACACACACCATGTGTGGTGTGAGCAGGAGGCAGACCATACGGGTTGTGTGTGGACGGATATTAGAATTGCCCACACGTGTGGGCGCGGCTACTTCGTGCTACACGCCCAACAAGTACTACTCATCTTTATCCCGCACGTGTGGCACGAAGCAAAAATGCCCACACGTCCTAGCGCAACTACGTTAGGTACCTACGGAATGACGATTTAGTTGCCATCCTGGTTGGCAGATGTAGCTATTCGGGATGGCAAATGTAGTTGTAAAAGCATGACAACTCTATCTATTTTGATTAACTATAGTCTATAGTTGCCATGTCTAATTTATGGTAGTTGCCGCGTGTAATCAAATCGTAGTTGCCATGTGTGATTAACTACTTGCCACACATGGTCAAACAGTAGTTGCCATGTATGTTTACCTAGTTGTCACGTGTGGTCCAACCATAGTTGCCATGTATAGTTAATCGCAGTTGCCATGTGTGTTTATCTGGTTGCCACGTACGCGCAACTAAAGTTGCCGTCTAGCAAAAGAATCATAGTTGCCATGTTTGTTTACCTAGTTGCCACGGTCGCGTAACTGCAGTTGCCATCCACAACGTAGGAGTGTCGTGTGGGCGAAAATTAGTTCGCCCACACGCGCATGGACTAGGTGGTGGCTGTATGGGCAGAAACTAGTTCGCCCACACATCGCAGCTGGCAACAGTGTGATGCGGGGCGTGTGGGCAAACTCTCCAACGCCCACACACCAGCCCCGTCCTACGTGACACACCAAATCCACCTTTTCGTATCAAGATTCATGCAAAAGATAATTAACGACCATCCAGACGTGTGGGCGAGTTGGAGAACGCCTACACGTGTGGGCATTAGTGTTTCTGTTGTTTTTTTATCTGTTTTTTGTCTGTGCACAGGCCTTTCGGTGTTGTTTTTCATATGGGTGGGGGCAAACTTAAATGAGTCAAGCATGTTTTTTTCCTTTTAATTATTAATTTGTTTTAATTTTATGAATTTATTATTCATTTTTTACTGTGTAAATTGGTTGTCCTATTTGCATGTCCACCCTCGATATGTAACTTGGTTCACTTTTGCTCCTAAGTTGCAAGTCCATCCTTTGATACACAACTAGCCCTAATTTTATTTTTGTTTCAGTTTTAAGTTCACCCTCGATATACAACTAGGATGCCTGACACTTTTTTTAAAAGTGGTAAAGTCCACCTCCGACATCTAACTGGGCTGCCTTTTTTTACTAATTGCAAGTCAACCCTTTAATATGCAACCGGGGTAAACCCACTACAAGTCATAGTTATTAAAATGCTACATCTATGTAAAAAGAAACGGAAGCTTACTTAGGCCTTGTACAATGAGAGGTGCTTAGAGAGATGCTTAAAAAAATAAACCAGGTTTTTATGAAGCACCGGTGCCTATTTCTACAGGAGAGACGCTTAATTAAGTGTCTATCCTGTACAAATAAACACCGGTGCTTAAAAAAAGCCTGTTTTATTTCTCTAAGCACCTCCCCTAAGCACCTCCCCTAAGCCGCCGTCTCGCTATACGTCTCGACGATGAGTTGGTCCTTACTCCATTCAAGGGCAAGGGTCACACCTTCCAAACAAGCTGCTACTTTAGCATCTAGAGCACTTGCGCACCTCAGAATAAAACGACATGAAGCAAAGATGACTGCCCCATTGTGGTCGCGTAAAATCATTCCGGCACCTCCTCTACCATCTTCTTCCTTCCATGATCCATCCACGTTGAGTTTCACGTATCCGGCCGGAGGTTTACAGTTTTACACCAGTACTCCGGAGGTCTTGTACAGGTCACCGGCGCAGCATGTGTGCGTGCATGACTTATGTGCCGGTTGTATGAGACAACTTCCTTTGATTTTGCTATGTCAGTCGTGGGGTGCTGCTGTATGTGGAGCAATGTGTCGATGTAGCCACATAGGAATCTCCTAGACGCTTCGACAGGAGGCGCTGGTTTCTCATGATATACTTCATTTCGCACGTACCAATTCCTCCAGAGTGTCATTATAATGGGTAGGCGCTGATCATCATTGCAATTGTCCAGCAAGTGAATGATCCATTCAGGTCTTGTATTGGAGATGGATTCCAATTTAGGCATACTCCACACGCTCTCCATCGCCATCCATAAGCTTCGCGCCGGTGGGCATCTGCATAAGGCATGAAAGGTATCCTCGCATTCCATCCCACATAGAGCACACATATCAGAGATCTCGAGCGTTCTTTTAAATTTATTTGCAAAAGTGGCCAGGGAATTAGTCGCAACGCGCCATGCAAAAACTCGCCACTTAGGGGGAGCAGAGCACCCCCATCCTACCTTTCTGACGGCACGAGTGTCGTTCGGTACCCTGCTCGCGGCGTGCGCGGTGGTGCTGGTTTGCTCCATGAGAGCGATCTTGTAGGTGCTGCGCACACTGAAGATGCCCCTCGGATTAGGAGCCCAGGAGAGGATGTCGTCTAGCCCTTGTGGGCTGGCCTTTATCACCAAAATAACCTCCACGCCCGGCCTAATGAAGTGTTGTTGCAGAAGATTAGCCTGCCACCGGCCATTGGCGTCCAGGAGCTCCGACACGCGCCGCAGCCGGCATGTCCAGCGAGGTGTGATCGGCCGATATGAGGTGGGTCGCGAGATCCATGGGTCCCACCAGATACGGACCCGCTCACCGTTAGCCACACGTCATATTAGTCCTTTTTTCAGCAGCTCTAATCCATGTTGAATAGCGTGCCATGTCGGTGAAGCATTACCTGGAAAAATTGTGTCCTCAAGGGACCCATTAGGGTAGTATTTTGCCTTAAGTTTTTTTTTTGAAGGGAGTATTTTGCCTTAAGTTACATATGTGAACATAGGGAGTCCGGTCTGGATTTTTACGTGTTTTTTGTGGGAAGACCCTCCGTGGAAGGTTAGGATTGGACCTAAGGGGAGGAAGAGGCCCAGATAATTAGCGAACACGATTACCTAAAACTTTGTAGGATTATTGAAACAGACGCGTGTACGATTCGGTTCCTGGCTCCCTCAAAGAAGAAATAATAAAGAACGAATCCGTTCCTCCTGAAAAAAAGACAAAACACGCCCGTATCACGATCGCGATCGCGATCGGCCGATCGCATCGCCGCTCTTGGCGCCGACGTAGATGATGGCCGGCGGCGTTGACCGCCTGTCCGACCTCCCCGACGAGCTCCTCCTGCGCGTCCTCCACTTCGTCCCAGGCAAGCAGGCCGCCGCCACGACCGCGCTCTCGCGGCGATGGCGCTCGCCGCTCTGGCGGTCCTCAGGCGCCGTAAACCTAGAGACGTATGTCGAGGACTGGGGCTACTACACGAACATATTCAAGGATAGTAGTGGAGAATGGGACGACCGCCTCTTCTTGTCCCGGCGCGACGCCTTCGTGTCCGTGGCCGAGGCGGCGCTCGACGCCGCCGACGACCCCGTCACGAGGCTCACCCTTCGTGTCACCGGCCACAACTGCATCGACTTGTTCCTGAACGGTCACTGGGATGTGAATTTGCCGTCGCCCTGGTCTCCGCACCAGGGCGCGCTCGCCAAACTGCTCTCCCACCGGGCGGCGCGCCGCGTCGAGGAGCTCCGGCTCGACGCATACAACGTCTACTCGGACGACCAGACCAGTAGTCTCAGCTCCCTCGGCCTCTACGTGCTCAACCTAGGCTCCGTGCAGTCTGAGAACCTCCGCGTGCTGGACCTCACCAACTGCCGCGAACTCGTTCCGCCGGCCTCCGCGGTTGTGTTCCCGCGTAGAAAAAGAGGCTTCCGTCCAGCCCCATTAGTCGCGAAACTGTAGGAACCGCGACTAATGAAGTCTTTAGTCGCGGTTCGGCAGACGAACCGCGACCAAAGGCTTGGGCCAGGGCGCTCGGTGGCCAGCTGGTGCACGTGAGGGGCTTTAGCCGCGGTTGGCCAGGCCAGCCGCGACTAAAGGTGCCCAAAGGCCTTTAGTCGCGGTTGGCCTGGCCAACCGCGACTAAAGCTCCTCCCCTATATATACCAGTTCAGCGCACTCACTTAGCCATTTGGTGCCACTTCTCTTCACAAGGGGGTGTAGGTTTGCTTTTGGTTCCTCTTATGCACACAAGGTGTTTGATGAAATGCCCAACAG